CAATATCTTCCAAAACATCAAGTGTGCCATCTTCCTGGTTGCTGAGTTCATCATCACTCTTGGCTTCAGCAGTGAGTTTTAAAGTAAGTTTCTTTTTGTAAAAATGTTAAGAATACTTGTTTACCAAAGGAATATAATTTAACAGGTAAGTGTGCAAAATTTGTGATGCTACTATGTATGATTAAAAAAATATATTTTCTGAGCTACTCCCTTCAGACTCTTCCTTGAGCTTAAGCTCTGACCATTAGTGATCAGACTAGCCAACTGCAGGGGTCTGTGAGACCCTCATTGCCTGCCAGGGACACATGCCTTACAACTTTTTTGTCCTGCAATGATGCAGGGAGCATGTGAAAATCAAAGGATCAACTTGGTGCTGAGGAAAAATACAATGGAAGAGCCACAAAACACTCGTACTCCCTCAGAGAAAGGTTTCGGAAAAGTTTCAAACTACCAAAACAAAACTGACAACATCAAAGCAAGTGCAGTCAGTGACCTCTCTCCCATCCATTAGCAGTGGCAGACCAGTCCACCCGGCAGTAACTTTCTGCAGTTTATATCACCAGCACACATGGGACACTGAACATGCCTGGCTGCCAATGTCAATCTCAGCACACTGAGGACAAGTGTCTTTTACAGTAGCTTTGTCCCATTCATGTTGCTGGGAGCTCATGAGGATCAGAGATCAACCCACTACAAAGAACCACCTGAAAGCAAGGAAAAACCCTTATCAAAATATGTTTAAAAATAGCAAACAACCAAATAACTCTCCAAGTTACTTAATGTATTATTAATCCGACTACCCTAACCCTACCAGGAAGTAAACCGAGCCACCTCTCATTCTTGATTTGTGCATATGTAAATTGACAAAAGAATTTCCAGATAAGACACATCTTCTTAATGATAATTTGAATGGCTATTTTCAGACATTGTGTCCTGTGTTTGGGTTTCATGCTTTGAATGTGTCATAGGAGTGTATGCTAGTTAGTTTGTATTGCTCTTCTGCTTCAGCCTTCATTTAGGTTGTGTTGACTATCTTGGCCCACTGGAGATAGGTACCTTAGCAAATTGTCCTGTCTTAACAGAATTGGCAGTATCAAGGGTGAGGGGTGTGAGATCTAACACTGAATCACCAAACAAAACTCTGAACCAGCCAAACGGCTATTATTCCATTACTTGTGAACACCACCAGGTGTCAATCCAAATTGCTCAATGCTTCTGGATTAGTGACTAGCTCCACTCAAGACCTTAGGGGTGGCATGAACCCCGCTCAGTCTCTTGCTCAGTGTGAACAAGAACACAGTTTTCTGGTACTGTATTTTAATGCCAAAACTATTGTCAGCTAAGTGCCACTTAATGTTTTCACAGCAGAATATTTTTTTATTAAATGAGTGTTTTGCTCTACCAATCTGTTTTGGCTCAGTTTCAGGGTTCTCGTCACTGGTGCCACTTGTGAAGACCAATAACCACCTGAGATTTCCTTTAAGGTTATTGTGTTTCCTTCCTTTTAAGTAGGATTGATGCCAGTAAGTGTTTGCAACTTCATTGCCAAGCAAGACTCTGGACATGGTGCAATCTAGTTAGTGTCTATGTAAGTGCTTCTTCTATTTTTCTGCCTTGTGAGGTGGTAATGCAAGCATCTTCCTGACTTGCTGGAGAGAGAGAGATGCTATATGGCCTTTAATTTAGCCCAGGGCTACTTTGGCTTCTTGTTGTCAAGAGATGGGGTTTAGTGATCATAAGCCATAAATGTTCTCTCTTCCAGCTGGTTTTCCTACCTGCATGTTGTCTGGGCTAAATACACCAGCTTCATGAGCATCAGGGAGGTTGTCTACCTTATTTCTCTGCTAGTTGGATTATCATGGCTTCATAAAGCATATGGGAAAATTGTCGGAATTAGTTAATAAGGAGAACTACTAGGAACTTGTACTGTACTTAATTAAAAATTACTGTATGCAAAATTAATGCAACTAAAGTCCCTAGTTGTAAGTCTAACTAAAACTAAAGTCAACTAAAGTCCCTAGTCCCCTAATTGGTCGTAAATCTTAGCTCCTCTTTTCCTAATGACAGACTGGGCTGTAAAGGGCAGGTGGGGTCCCTAAGGGTGAATGGAGAAGTTGATTGAAGATCCACAATCCACCTGCAGACAATTTGACACATCAGCTTGTGTTGTTAATACAAGGATAAGATTTAATAAACTCGGTTCTATAACTGAACGCTGGTTATGTTTAAATCATGGATCTAGACATGTACACAGTCCAGCCTAGCACCATAACTACAACAGCCAATATTCACGTACTAATAAACATAACAATTTGCATTATAGAGGTATGATATTTATGAATATGCAATTAAATGACCTTAAATGTGGTCCACGTACTAGTAACTAAGTGCAAGAGATTATTTTCAATATGATAAACTTATATGATAAATTAAAGAAAACTAAGTAAGCAATTGTTAACTTAATGTATATTATCAATTATATATAGATATATTCAATTTATATGAAAAGTTTGTTGAACTTGACTTTCAATGACTGAGGTTGTGTACCTCATGAGTGTCAAGATACAATGACTGAGGTTCAGTGACAGAAAGATTAATCAAAACTTACTAAAATATGGGACGTCGCCTTGCCCTGTAACGACAAACTTATTGGATACATCAAGGTTATACAAGCATGCAATTGGCCAATCAACACACTAGAATAACTCAATATACTTATGTCTGAGTACCCCTCCTACGGTTCTGAAACGTCTTTTCCTTGAGCACTTTTCTTCGCACTTCCGCTCCATTTCCATCTTCACTGATGGGTCTAAGTCTGCAGACGGTGTAGGCTATTCTGATGTTTTTCCTGACCGCACCTTATATGTGTCGCCTACCTCCGGAGACTAGCATCTTCACAGCAGAACTTTATGCTATTCTCTCTGTTCTTCGTCCCTTGCTTTTTCGTTGTCAATATTCCTTTGTAGTTGTCGTTGATTCTCCTAGTGCCCTCATGGCTCTCGAGTCCTTTAATCTGGTCCATCCAGTGGTCGTCGAGATTCAGCATTGGCTGTTTCTTATTTCCAGTAAATTTAAGTCACATCTCCCATAAAGGTATTCCTTATTCCGACTTTTACCCAGTTATTCATTCCTCCATCCTTACCCCTTTGGGAGGATTGTTGGTCTTCTGTTACTGGTAACAAACTGCATATTCCTAACACTTATGCGCCCCGGGTGTGCACTCCGTGCGTATGCACGAACTACTACTGGCGGTGCGGGCGAGTGCTCGGCTATACTAAATGTGTATACTTATTTCAGTTTTTTCACCTTAATTCTTGTACTACGTCGTTCATTTTTGTATCATTGTGTTCACAATAGAATTCCCTACAGGTGTATATGCATATAAGGTCCAAAAGCCAAGCGTGACTCCCCACAGCAAAGCCTAAAGTCGGCAAAAATTACCCATGAGTGCACAAAATCAGTAAAATGTGTATACTCGTTTCAGTTTTCTCACCTTAATTCTCGTGCTACGTGGCTCGTTTTGGTATCATTGTGTTCGCAATTAAATTCCCTGCAGGGTGTTGTATATGCATATATTGTCCAAAAGCCAAGCGTGACTCCCTTTAGCAAAGTCTAAAGTTACCCGTAACGAGCACCAATTTGCACATCGCAGCCAAATGTGTATACTCATTCAGTTTGATAATATTAAATTTCGTGTTACGTCTTTCATTTTGGAATCAAAGTGTGCACACTCTAAAGGCGCTCATTTTGAAACTATCCCCAAGTCGATTGGATAAAAAATGAATTTTATACAAATATTTTTGTATTGGACGAGAGCACAGTCCACGGCTCAGACTCGAGAGAAAAAAAGTGGACACGAGCAGTGTGCGATAGTGTTAAACTATGCAACCAGTCATTTCAACTGTGAGATCACCACCTAGGTACAAACACCAGATGGCAGCCCAGGTGACTTGCTCTAAGTTTTTTCAAGGCTTGCTTGGGCATGAGTGTTGGGTGGCCTTTTCCAAGGCCTTGAGTAGATCAGGCCACCACCTTAGCTTGTAACACAGAGTGGGCCAGCCTGAGGCTTCAGGTCATTGGAATATTCCTGTGTAAACACAAAATGCCTGGTTATAACCTGGGGTGTATGAGTTAAGTGGCTATTTGGCTTGTACAGAGTTTCATTTGGCAATTCAGTATTACCAAACATTGCGTGGAGGGAGGATGGAGGATGGAGATTTAAGATGCCTCTATATTTTTGAGGTGTTACACCTCTGTAGTGAGTAGGGCTCTGATCCCCCCCTCACCCACTCCGCAACATGTGGAGGAGGCAGAACAATTTGCAAGTGTGCCTGTGTCCTGGTGGGATGAGGTAGCCACCAGGAGCTTTGCATGCTTTCCTGTTTTGTTTATACCTAGGACACAGCTTAGAGGAGTTATTGAGATGTTAGCTAGGAAGGGCATTTCATTACATTCAACAGTCTATTTTTAATTGTCTTTGTACAAGATATATCAACATGATTAAAATTAAATATAGATTGAGCATGAGTAGTGTATTCTGTGTAATAATGACAGGTTTACAGTATTTAAACACTTAGCCAGTAAAAATTGCAAGGGTACCTCTAATTGAATTCTTGATACTTGTAATAATAAATTATTAGTTCTAATAAGTAATCTAAGTCCTGTTGATTATATCCCTGTTACATAAACTATGTAATCAAAGTGATCTTGAGCTATGCTAGCCCCTGAGTTTGGCTAATGTTGAACTGAAGACTTTATGAACATTTCTGAAAAGTTGTTTGTTTGTACTCCTGTATCTGTAATGTGTATAATCAGATGTTTACTTATAATCTATGTAAGATTAATATTTTGTATTTGAAGTTAGATTTTTCTCAATATTTTACGTGTTTCGCCGCCCAAATTGTACACTATATGTTATTCAGTTCCGTCTTTTTAAATGTTCTTTTTTGTCTGCTTCACGTGAATTTTACTCTTCTGAACTACAGTGCTTTTCTTTTCAGAAATTAAAGCAAGCGTTGGCTTCAAGTAGTACAGCAGCACGGCCAGGCTGCAGTAAAATATCACGAGCCAATACTGCAGACCGCATCGCTGAAATGACCCGAACACGTAATTTTAGTGGTACCAGTAGTACTGAGGTTGGTTGCTTCTGATGCAGTATTATTTGTTAGATGTTAATATAACTTTTATTGTGAAAATGGCTCAAAAATTCTTATTCTAAATTTTTTTTTAAGCAATAAATATATATATAGTAGTATGTATTCTCAACCTAATAGCCAGAGTCTCACTACCTGGTCTATTAAGCAAAGGGCCATTTTGCCTAACAGCCAGAGCAATCAGTTGGGCACAAATAATATTAGCATATAATAACAACATGAATCAACAATAACATTGTCTTAAACAAAGACATCACATAACAACACTGTCCACACTCACAACACCACACAATCAAACCACAACACCAAACTACACCATCATACTACATCATCCAACACCATCACCCAAAAGTTGTTGTCCCAGGAAATTAGCAACTATTCTATTGACTAAAAATGACCAGTTTTATACAATGCCAGTCTCCGATTCAAAGTATTACCAATGTAGCTAAATAGACAAAATTTGATTATATTTCTGTTAATGAAAGACTTACTATAGACCAAAGCTTCTGTTTTATATATGAATGTATGCTTTATTTATGTATATACTTTGAATGTACATTAATATTAACAATAATATTATTATTAATAATATTAATAAAATCAACATAATAATATATTATTAACACCATTAATATTGATATTAATAATAATAATAATTATAACATTTATAATATAATAATTACAATATAATTATATTAATTATAATATTAATAAATATAATAATTATAATATTATTATTATAACGATTAATATTATAATTATTATAACTATTAATATTATAATTATTATTATTATTATTATTATTATTATTATTATTATTATAACGATCATTATAATAATAATTATTATTAATATTTAAACATAATAATAATAATATTAATAATTATAATAATTATAATACGATAAAACCCACACTTGTGTATTTGTGAAATTTATGTAAGGAATTTACACCAAGTCTTTCGCACTCTCCTGAGTGCTGTGTCAAGGTCTTGAGTGTGTGGTGAGGACGAGACTTACATCTCAACGTCTACAACATCTACACTCACACAGTTGGGAATAGAGGTGACCTGGTCAGGCAGTCAAGCAGAACAAGAGGACTGGACCCAGGATAGCAGCCTCATTAAACGTTAAGATGTGAGTCTGGTCCTCACCACACACTCACACCTTGACACAACACTCAGGAAAGTGTGAAAGACTTGGTGTAAATTCCTTACATAAATTTCACAAATACACAAGTGTGGGTTCTTATTATTTCTGTGAGAAGCCATTACCATACCTAATAATTACAATAATATAATAATTATAATAATAATAATAATAATAATAAATAATAATAAATAATAATAATAATAAATAATGTTAATAATAAATAATAATATTAATAAATAATGTTAATAAGAAATAATACCTGTAATAATAATAATGATAATAATCATAATAATAATCATAAATAATAATAATAAAATCATGTTAATCATAATATAAATAATTAATAATAATAATAAATAATTATAATAATTTTACCATGTTGTGGTGCAGTGGACTAAAGCGAGCCTTGGAACACCCAGCGCACAGGTTCAAACCCTCATTACGGCTCCTGTTGAATTCGTTCAATAATTATTAATAATAATAATAATATTAATATTAAAAATAATAATAATATTAATAATATACACACAGTTTATATATGTTGAAACCATTTGAATAGGGTGAAGGGGAAGATGATATCTCGGGTGGAAATTGTAACTTCGTGAAAGGGGAAAGAAAACGACGTCACTCTTCTGATAATGAGGACCCTGCTGAAAAACGCAAAAAATTCCTTGAAAGAAACAGGTGAGACTGACTTGAGTGTTTTGTACTGTATTATATGTTTATGATGATTTTCTGAGCTTTCTCACTAGTCACTCCTTCAATCAAGGTCTTTCTCACCTCTGTACAAAATCTGTCATAGGTCATGACAACATTCCACACTGCCATGGCAGGGAGCTTTTCTTGCTCCTTGTCAAGCCCTGTCCATAATTATAGAAATAATAGTTACAAATGTTATATTAAGGAGTACTGTAAACATCACATCTTAGTGTTTCAATAAGCAGATGGTTGCAAAGAAGAGAATTGTAATGCACTTTAAATAATTACAAAAGAAAAGTGTGAAGCCTGGCCCTGTGTAGACATTGAATCACAGGGCTGAAGATATGGCGTCCTAACCACACATCGGAAAATGAAGAAACTATAATGTTTCTGCTTTCTTGTAATACATTATCATTTATTCAAGCAGTGGATGATAATTTCCATAAGCTAGCAGAACTAGCTTATCCTGGACCATTATCAAATACACGAATTGATAATGGCTCAGAATGGACCAAAGCGTTGTCATTTCTTCATTTAATGATGTGTGGTTTGGACATCACGAGCATGGCCATGTAAAACAAATTTTTAACTCTTTCCTGTTGTACCTTTCAGAGCAGCTGCCATAAGATGTAGAGAGAAGAAGAAAAAATGGATTGAAAACTTGTCCATAAAATATGATGAACTGGGATCAATCAATCAAAAACTACAGACTGAAGTGTCATCTCTACGTTCTGAAGTTGCTGTTCTTAAGTCAATGCTTTTGCAGCACAAAGACTGTCCTGTAACTCTGGCCATGCAAGGTGTGTGCATGTGTCTGTGCTTCTATATGTAGGGAGTATTTCATAATGTTCACTTCAGTTCGTGTTCCAATTGCAAGATATACATTTGGTGTATGTATATCTCCCGGGTATGTTCAGAAATGTGCAAGCATACATTCACTTAGTGTTCATCAGGACATGTTAGAGGACTAATACACAGGATGGAGAAAAGTGGGGATTGCAGAAAAAGCACTGGAATGGGTATGGAAGTACATAATTACATAATTCTTAAACATGTCTTGTTAAGTTTTCTTATTTTTTCTATCTTTTAATGGAAAACTTTAGTTTACCTTGAAAATAATTACTGGAAATCAACTTTTCAGATGGCAGCCTAGAAAATATGAACTGCAGTAGTGACCTGACACCTTTACCCTCAATCCTGGCACCTCTGACAGATGGTGCTCATGTTTCTTGCCAACCTCCACACAAACCCCGCATCCGTTCACTTTCTTTACCATCGATACCATCATCTAGCACCATGGAGCCTCTACCTGTGAATTTATCATGCACTTTGTGTGCTGCCCCGCCAACAAGTACAGGGGTAACTCCCATATCTTCATCAACCAAGGTACAACATAAAAGAATATTACAATTATTTTAGTCTTGCATGGGCTTTGTTCATTCTTGTTTAGTTGAATAGTACCTATGTACTATGTGGTTTAAATTACAGTATTAGGAAAACTGGAAGATTACTGTATTATGTCAGTCTCCATTCTTAGGACCCCTAAGTAGCTCAATGCTGGCTAACATCTGAGGTTAATTTTATATAAAAATTCATCATTTTGTATTGTTTGGTTAAAACCATTCGGGGAATTTATTATACATGCTTGGTAAAGACTGACCTAGCTGAGAAACTGAAAGGAACCCAAAATACATTTAAACTTTAATGTAATTCCCATTGTTGGGGACAGGATGCCTGTACTTGGACTTATTACTGACCTTTTCTAGGATGCACTCCACAACAATTGCCTAACTACTGTATACCTTATTTATTGCTATACTTCACAAGGAATTTGGTTAATTCTCTATGGAAAAGTTCTGCTAGCTTATGGAAATTATCATCCACTGCTTGAATTGAAGATAATTTATTACAGGAAAGCAGAAATACAAATTAAATGCAAGTTAAAGCATTAATATACCTTCTCTTGTGAGTCTCTTGGTAACTTCCCAAGTTAAGTGTTGTTCTAGCCTTGCTTTAACCCTTAAACTGTACAACACGTCATATGACATGTTGAGTAACTTACCCAAAAGTGCGCATCACGTCATATGACGTGTTGGAGTACCACGCAAGATTTAAATGGCCCGCAGATACACGGGGTTCACCTCACCTTCATCAGGGCTCTTGTAAACAGACGCCATTTAAAAAAAAAATCGTGGGCAACATTCCCGGGTGTGAGGGCCTCGGTACTGAGTGAGCCACCAAGGCTGGCACATGCAGCACGAGCTCACAGCACTGCTGTTCAGCTTGTGATCACAGCATTGCTTAAAAATGTCAAAATATATATATGTACATGCTATTATTTAGCAATGATAGTATTACAGAAGACCCCTAACTGTGATAAAAATAACCAGGATTCTGATAATAGCAGGACTGTTGTGATAATTAGCACTGTAGTGGGAGGAGTAATCTTGGTGGGGAGGGAGGTAGCGTTGTCTGCTGACTGTGTGTGACCATCTTTTACTGTCTGGATTCACTATACCAGCTTAATGGTTCGCTATGGTGAACAAAACATGCAGATACTTATATATAACGTCTGTATATAGTGAATAAAAAGCAAAAACAGTATGGTAGGAGGAGAATGTTGGCGAGTCAGGTGAGGAAAGGAGAGAATGGCAGCCAGTAGTGGGCTGCCACTGCCACTCAGCATATCAACTTAGTGGTTCGTTATAGTGAACACAAATGTAGATACTTACATATAACGTGTATATATTGTGTAAGAACCGCAAAAGGGGTGTTAGGAGAAGCCATTTTGGCAAGGGAGGTGGCATCATCTTCCTGACTTGTCATGCTGTGTAAGGGTAGCCACTATGCTCTTTGTGCACTATACCAGCTTACATGAACAGTTATGGTGAACAAAACATGTAAATACTTATATATAATATCTGTATATAGTGAATAAAAGCAAAAACAGTATGGTGGGAGGAGGATGTGGACAAGTGAGGAGTCATTGAGGGAGGGAGTGGCAGCGAGAGGCTGACTGGCAGATATGGTGGCCACTCCTCGTTGCTTTTTTTTTTTTGAGATATATACAAGAGTTGTTACATTCTTGTACAGCCACTAGCACGCGTAGCATTTCGGGCAGGTCCCTGAAATACGATCCCCTGCCGTGAAGAATTGTTTTTTTCATCCAAGTACACATGTTACTGTTGCGTTAAACAGAGGCTACAGTTAAGGAATTGCGCCCAGTAAATCCTCCCCGGCCAGGATACGAACCCATGACATAGCGCTCGCGGGACGCCAGGTGAGTGTCTTACCACTACACCACGGAGACTGTGTATTGACTTGCAATATCAACTTAGTGGTTTGTTATGGTGAACAAAACATGCAGATACGTATATATATAACCTGTGTATATAGTGTAATAACCGGCAACGTATTTGTTTATTGTTTTATGAACACAATAATTGAATCAATAATATGCACACCATATTGATTATTAGACCAAAACCCCTCTACCCCATGGAAGAGAAGGGATCAAAGTGGATCCAGGGAGCTACTGAGAGGCTCACCAGAAAAGTGCATTCTTTTATATTAAATACAGGAACTCCCCACTGAACATGAGGAATGCACATAATGATTTATAATAGTAATAAATCATCAAATGCTCATTTGTTTGATTTGTATATGATTTATGAAGTGGTCATTATTTTACAGTGTTACTGTAGTTCAGCATAATGATAAATTGAATGATTTATCATTATGTTGATAAGTGATGTAATTTATCATGATAAAAATTATGAATGGGTCACAAAATCTATCACACGCAGAAAAGCTGCCTTGCAAAAGGTAAGATATCAACTGGATAAAAACCTGTGAGCAAGAAGACAAAAATTTAAGACACAATCCTAAGACTAGTAAGGCTTTGGAAGAACATAAGCTGACCAAAGATGAACACTTGCCAGACACAGCCAGAAAGGGGTGATGACACATCCACCCAAATGACAGCGAGGCGGAGTCCGCCAAAGCTAAACGACGCAAGATGATGTCAACAATCATGGAAGAGCCAGTAAAGATGGGACACACCAATAAGACAAAATGACACACATTCAGTAATATGAATAATTGGTTTGAAAACAGAACCATTAAAACATTCAAGTGAATGTTTTAATGGATCTTCACAGAATTTATTGGGTGAATATTTCTGGCAGTGACTTGGCCTCTATAATTGGTCTAAAGCCAATAAACTAATAATAATAATAATAATAATAATAATAATAATAATAATAATAATAATAATAATAATGCTAAACTACTGCATACTGCCATTTCAAGGAAAGATGTAAATGTGAAGCCAAGAGGTCTGTCACCTAACTTCCATATTTGGAAGCATGCAAATACCTATACTGTATCAGCATAGAGCCTTGAACCATCCACGTAGGTCAAACTTTTCCACCTCGGTGATTCGTTGTGCGAAGTAAGTGAGGTTGTGTGATCCATCCAGGCCATTGTGTGATCACAATATTCTAAGATGTAATACAATTATAGAAACTCTTCTAAAGGTCCAGGATGATGACCTTCTAGATTACTATCAAGAACACTATGAGAGAATGAGAGAGGAATTGCAAAACACCTCACAGAGGGAGCTGATTGGTGATCATGGCATGGAAATGTCATGGGGAAAATGTCAAAAAGATCATTACTGAATGCGTACAAAGATGTGTGCCAAAAAGGAGAAAGAAAAGAAGGAGAACAAGATGGATGACACAAGTAGTAAAAAGACCATTAATAACTAAACGGAACCTCTGGAGACGGTATAAATCCACAATGAACATCATGGATTATGAGATATATAAAAGGGCATTAAATTCAGCCAAGCAGGAAATCAGATTAGCCAAAAGAAACTATGAAAGAAAACTTGCCCAAAACATTAAGGAAGATCCAAAAGCATTCTATGCCTATATACGAAGTAAAACCAAAACAAAGGACTCTGTTGGACCCCTAAAAGATGAGACTAACCGAGTTCTATTGGATGATCAAAGGGCAGCAAACACTGAATGAATAATTTACATAAGTGTTCACACTAGAAAGATTGAACGAGATCCCATCACCCACACAAATGTTTGAAGGAGGTGAAGAAAATGAATTGAGGGATATACCCATTACATGTGACACAATCAGGAAGAGCATTGACAAACTAAAAGACTCAAAAGCCTCAGTTGTGGATGGATTTCAATCCAAAATCATAAAGGAACTGGCAAATGCACTATGCTTGCCACTGAAACTCCTTTTCAGAAAATCCTTGGACCAAGGATTAGTTCCCCCTGGATTGGAAATATGCAAATGTTACGTGTACCCCCATTTTCAAAAAAGGCAGAAAGAGCTCGGCAGAAAACTACCGTCCAATCAGCTTGACATCACACATCTGCAAGCTCGTGAAGAGAATACTAAGGAAGGGAATCATACAACATCTCACAGAGAACAATCTTGTAAAATCAACGCAACATGGGTTTGTTAAAAATAGATCCTGCCTTACTAACCTGCTCACATTTCTGGAAACGATAATCAGCTATTCAGACAAAGAACTTCTGGTAGATGTAGCTTACATGGACTTTGCTAAAGCTTTTGACAAGGTACCACATGAGAGACTGGCAAGGAAATTACAGGCACATGGAATAAATGGGAGAATACTGGATTGGATAAAACAGTGGTTAAAAAATATAAAAGAAAGGGTCATGCTAAATGGGAATGAATCTGACTGAGGTAAATGTGCTAAGTGGGGTCCCACAGGGGGGGGGGTTCCATTTTGGGGCCAACCCTTTTTGTCATATACATCAATGACATAGATGAGAATAATACAAACCACACATCATCATCAAATTTGCAGATGACACTAAGATCAATAGTAAAGTGGGAAATGAAAGTGATATTGAGACCTTACAAAGAGATCTACATGAACTCCACAAATGGTTAGATGACTAGCAAATGCTTTTTAATGTCAATAAATGCAAGATCTTGCATGTGGGGCATAGCAATCCATGTCACAACTACCAAATTGACAGCACTACCTTACAACAGATAGATGAAGTAGTTCACTAAACTTCTTGAAGTTCACTAAAGATGAAGAAGTTCACCATTCACTAAAAGTTGCAAAACAAATGGGAGCGGCAGTAAAAAAAAAAAAAGTGAACCAAACCCTGGGAATAATCAAGCATACCTTTATCTTCAAAGAAAAGGACATAATCGTTCAGTTGTACAAGTCTCTGGTGCGCCCCCACCTGGATTATTGTATCCAGGCATGGAGACCTCATCTTCTGAAAGACATAGCTGCTCTGGAGAAGGTGCAACACCAGGCAACAAAAATCATACCAGAGCTTAGTCATCTCTCGTATCGGGAACGGTTGAGGGCGATTGGACTAACACTGCAGACCAGGCATGACAGGGCAAATTTCATAGAAACCTTCAAAATACTAAACGGTTTGGACGATGTCGATCCGGACAGTTTCTTCAAAATGTCAGACGTAACACGAACGAGGAGTAACAGGTTCAAGCTCAACAAGTCACAATGTAGGACAGAAAACAGGAAATTCTTTTTCACACAATAAGGGTTGTAAACCCATGGAACTGCCTTCCTGCCGAAGTTGTAAACGCCAAAACTCTGCTGGGTTTTAAAATACTGTACAGCAAAAAAGATCAGAGCAAATGGGGGACCTTTGACAAGCTGCCGACTTCCTGTCCTCATCGAGGCCACTAGTATTAATGGCCCTCAGGTAAATTCAGGTTGAGTTGGTCACTTTCATTGTGGAGCTGGACTTTGCAGGTGGCTTGTCTTCTGGATTTTCAAGGTTTGTTTCTGCATGATTAACAGTGTTGGGCGTTAAATATTCCTGCAGATGGTCTTTCCCAGTCCCATCCCATTTCGACAGTAGATATTCAACAGCACTTCCTTGCATTGGATCTGCGAAACGTTTGCATACCCACAGGTACACACATTTGTGTCGGCATGGAATAGGAGGCTTTCTGTGTATGTCTAACATTCAGGATGTCCACTTTGTCTTTGGTTTGCCAGATGGTGTCGAGCCAGTCTTGGCTCAATACCCTGATACTTCAGGGTGCCTGTTGCCATGTTCCAGTCCATCCACGGTTCAGGGATTGACTGAGGTTCCAAGTGGGGAACCTTGATTACCACTTTCAGGCTCTGCCCTCTGGAATCAACTTAGCACCAAGAACTTTTAATAGATTGGCTCAGGTAATCCTTTTCGATCTTCATTTCTAGGTGATCAACATTCTAGCCTACCTTGACGGCTGGCTGCTTTGGCTCCCAGATAAATGTTTTATCTGCTAGCCGGTGATTTAGTTCTTTGCCAAGTTTGCACATCAGATGGAGCCAGCCTAATCTCCTCCTTGCTCGAGGCTGGTGTTGGATACCAGGATGGCCTACCCCCCCATCCTTTCAATTGGCTGTTGTGATGCCTCAGATTCCCCCTGCATGGTGTGTTTTATGGGCAGTGTGTGGCTGAGTGCTGTGCCACGTCTTACACTGTAGACACTTCCTTAGCTCAGGGACCATGCAGGACCCTATTAGTCCTGAAAAATATCTTACATCATTGCTTTCCACTTCAGGCTTCTTTGGGTTTGATTCCATGGTGGTGTCCACTCCATGTCATTCATACGCATCTTGTCTGGGCTGGAGCTTGATCACCACACCAGTCTCCAGCCAGGTTTGATTTTATGTCTTCATTCCAAATGATTTCCAGTGGACTCTGATGATAACTTCACATGTATATTGTAAGTATCTATTGCTTGGATTGCACACTTGTGCATATGGGTCATTGGATTATATCCTATGAATTAAGATACAGCTAGTTATGTGGGTTATTGCAAGTGTTTCAAATATTTGTTCAGAGGAAAGTCACACTGCAATTCTGTGAAATAAAGACATTTATATTAACAACTGACAACCAGAGCATAACTCCACAGTCTCCCGAGACTAATGGATACCTCCTATTTTATTTTCATGATCATAATGAACCTTTGTTTTCTTTTTACAGGTGGGTGCTGTGCCAGCAGTATCTCCTGCTGGAGGTGGGGCAGTGACCATGAACCCAGTCAACCTGACTAATAGCTTCATAACAGCTGGTCAGTATTCTTCTGGCCTCAACACCACCACCACCAGCAGTACCCGACTCTCTCAAGCTGTACCTGGAACCATCTTCAAACTCACGCATACACCCATTTCCCATAACCACACATCATCTCACCACACCCAGCTGCTTGTCCCAGTCACAGGATCATCTCAGGTAGGAGAAGTATGTGTTTAACACAGGGGGCTGCATTGTGGATTAAAAGACTAAGGGAAAAATTACATTATATTTGCTTACAGAAGTATTGTATACACATTAATATCATGTTTAATGCTCCCAACAGTTTGCCGATTCATTATAGCACTTTTGATCTAAAAAATATTTTCTAGGTAAATATTTAGATATTTTTTTATCTTAAAAATAATAATAATCTGTTACCTATTACTGTACATCAAGAATGTAATTAAATTTAAGCTATTCACTATATTAATATGAATGTGTTTTATGTAAGCCTTCCAACAAAGTTTAGAAATCTGTTTTTTCTTCATAAAGAAAATAAAACATCTGGTCAATGTTAGGGAAGGTTACTTTACAATGCAACCTCGGTTCAGGTGACCTCACTTTGCCAAATCTTGGGTTACACCACACACATTTTGGTTTAGGTTTACATATCTATATACAGTTCTCAATGTTTTTGGTAATTGTGTGTATAAAAATTGAGTTAAGCACAAAAACTACTGTGTAAACTAATAAGTAAAGCAATGTGAGGATTGCTTCAGTCCTTTTGCCTTTTGAGCTGGGTTCTACTGGTAGCTTGGCTTCTGGATTCTAAGGATTTGGCTGTCCATAGGCTCATGTACATGGCATGTCCAATGTTCCATCCTATTTCTAAATAGTGGAGCATCAATGAAATGTCCTGGTGGATCTGAGAAATGTTCCATTAGTCCGAGTTGAATCTTTTTGCATCAGTTTGGCTCTGTAGTGGATGCCTTTTAGTTGGACTGGTTGAGGCAGGGGTTTCGCTATCTCTTTCCTCCCAATCCAACTGTTGATCAGAGTGTTATCCAGATTGGAGACATACTCAGGCGGAGTGATCTTTTTGGCTCCTTGGTGCATGGCCCATAGGGTTGGATGGACATTGTTAATTTCCAATCATTTGGAACAAAATTGAATAGGGATTGTAGTTGATTGTTCAGATTTGTTGAAAATTAATTGCTGGTATTTTATATTGTTGATATTATGTAATATTGTCTTGTGAGACAGTGTATACACTGTCTCAGTGTGTACAGTGTATAACTGAAGATGGTAATCCAACCTATAGGTTGGATTACCATCTTCAGTCACCCTTGTGTAATGAGTTCAGTGTTTGGTTATTGTATGTAATATTTGTTATTTTAACTAATATGCGTGATATTCTCTTGAACTTTAATAGGTAACTGTAGTGGGAGAACAAGAATTAATAAGTTCAGAAATCAATTCCAAAGCCTTAGTGATGAGTGGCACCACGAACATGATAGTGACAGCCAATGGATCTCCTATCACTCACACAACTTCGCTGGGCCACTCACAGCTGCTCAATTTGACACTGCATCAAGCATCTCAAGTCAAGTCTCCATCAGTTCTTCGCAAGTCCAATTGAATAATTAATGTAATCAGCTTACAGTTTCCATTTCGCATACAAACATTGCGGTATGTCTGATAATTGATTGTTACGGTGATCACTACTGTGTAGTGTACAAATAAGTAGATTTTTCATTTCATTTAGGTAGAAATCCCATAATAAATTTTTATTTGTGCATTGCATTAAATAAAATTTTCAACATTTCATTATGATTATAATTTATCAAAATATATATTGAGTATTTCAAGTTGAGAAATTACATTCTTTTCTGATGCTGCGTGATATTAAAATCAGGAAGTAAGGTATTTATGAGGAGAAGTTGCTAAGCCAAAATGACTATACTAATGTATCACTTGGAAGGAATACAAGAACAAGGAGCAGGGATATGTGTAAAGGATGAGGGAACAGTGTCCAAGCCAGAATTTCTCTTTGGAGGCTGAGATAATGCAAATTCCACCTCTTTATTTAGTGCTCTTTCTATAGAGAAGCACCACATGCAAATGTTATTCTATGCTATGCGTTTGAGTTAAATATACACTAATTGAGATTTGAATAAAGCTAAACCTATACCATCCTCTTTCATGTGTTATTAATTAGAATAGGGATCGTGTCCTGATATTCACAACAGGAAGGACAATAACATAATCATTAATCTTATTTATAAACCGGAAGATACACGGGAGACTGGCAAAAACGTGAGAGAAGAATTTCCTCAAGGGGACCAGACAGGAGACCCACATTTAAACACAAAAGCTTATCACAGGAAGGCCAGTGCTTCTTGTGTAAGTGCCAATGATGCATGAATCTACAAGATTTTAGTCTTTCTGCTTATCAAAAACGAGCCTTATAGTCAGCTATGATATGTCATCTCGTTTAGGTTCTCGCCCCACTGGGGACTTTATTCTCAGTGTTGCTGTGCTACAAGTAAGTTGTGTCAACTGATATGACCAAGTCAGAATGCCAGAACAAAGGTGGATGTCTTCAAGGAGCATTTAAATAGGTTCCTGCAAAAAGTGCCTGTCCAACTCTGTATATTTACAGTACCTGAATTTACCTGAGGGCCACTAATACAAGTGGCATTGACGAGGACAGGAAGCTGGCGGCTTTGTCAAAGACCCCCCCCCCTTTATTTATCCGGATGATCTTTTCTATTTGTATTTTAAAACCCAGCAGAGTTTTGGTGTTTATGGCTTTGCAGGAAGGCATTTCCATAGGTTTACAACCCTATGGGTGAAAAAGCATCTCCTGTTTTCTGTCCTACATTGTGGCTTGTTGAGCTTGAAACCGTTGCTCCTCGTTCGTGTTACGTCTGACCTTTTGAAGAAAGTGTCCAGATCGACATCGTCCAATTTGTTTAGTTCAGTACTGTATTTTGAAGGTTTCTATTAGATCTGCCCTGTCATGCCTTGTCTGCAGTGTTGTTACCCCAGTGGCCCTCAACCGTTCCTGATACAAGAGATGACTCTGCTCTGGTATGATTTTTGTTGCCTAGTGTTGCACCTTCTCCACAGCAGCCATGTCATTCTGGAGATGAGGTCTCCATGCCTGCATGAAGTAATCCAGGTGAGGCACACCAGAGACTTATACAGTTGAACAACCACTTTTTTTTTTCTTAAAAGTAAAGGTACACTTGAGTATTCCCAAGCTTTGGTTCGCCTTTTTTTACTGCCGCTCCCACTTATTGTGCAACTTTTAGTGAATAATGGATTCTGAAACCAAGGTCCTTTTCTTCATCTATCTGTTGTAAGGTAGTGCTGTCAATTTGGTAGTTGTGTTGTGGATCATTATGCCCCACATTAAAGGTCTTGGATTTGTTGACATTAAAGAGCATTTGCCAGTCATCTGACCGTTTGTGGAGTTCATGCAGATCTCTCTGTAAGGTCTCTATATCACTTTCACTTCAAACGTTACCATAGATCTTAGTATCATCTGCAAATTTGATGATGTGGTTTGTAAAATTCTCATCAATGTCACTGATGTATATTACAAAAAATGGGTTGGCCTCAAAATGTACCTCTGTGGAATCCCACTTAGCACATTTCCCCAGTCAGATTCATTCCCATTTAGCACAACCCTTTGTTTTCTATGTTTTAACCACTGTTTTATCCATTCCAGTATTCTCCCATTTATTCCATGTGCCTGTAATTTCTTTGCCAGTCTCATGTGGTACCTTGTTAAAAGCTTTAGCAAAATCCACGTAAACTGCATCTACCAGAAGTCCTTTGTCAGAATAACCGGCTACCGTTTCCAGAAGTGTGAGTGTGTGGGCGTGCAGGCCACTCCAAGTAACAGTCTGTTGAACCAAGTTATCTCAAGTCGAGCCTGGCCTGGGGCCAGGCTCGGGGAGTAGAAGAGCTTCCGGAAGTCTTTCCAGGTATGCTCCAGGTAAGTCATCTTGGACATCACCTCACCACTGCATCATGTTAACTCTTGCAAACATAATGTTGACCCTATTGTGCTCAATGTTGCATTGTTGCAATGAAACAGCATTTGTTTATTGTTAACTAATTATTGTTGGTCACATTGTTGAGCAAGTTATATTCATCTTCAGAATGTATGATCCAGTTTTGCCTTAACACTTTCATAAAGTAGCATCAATTCCTTTTTTTTTTTTCTTTTTTTTTTTTAACCACCGCACTGCACACCTGGTTTTGGCAAACACTTCCTAGTTCAATTGTTAAGGACATATTTTTGTTGTTTTTATAAATGTTCAGGTAAAGTTAATGTCAAAAAGTTGCCAAACTGAACTATTTTCATTTAAAAAAAAAGTGATGAAAACATTAAAAACATTAAAATATAGCCTAATTAAAAAAGAGCACAACTCTCACGAGTGCCTTTACAGTGGTTAATGTACATAGATGTAAATAAACTTGTTACAAAGGCAACAATCTTTCCATGGAACCTTGAATGTCCTTTTCGTTTCTAAATGTTGCACCTCTATTAAACTATATCATTAGCATACATCAACTTAAATACGATTCCAAATCTGTCATCGTCTTGAGTTTTCCTTTTAGGTTGATTCAGAAAGACAAGATTTAAAACAACTGAAAGGCACTGATCATTGTGTCAAATATTCTTCTCCAAAGGGTTGAGTTAATCATAAAGAGGCATAAGATGAGTCTGGTCTGGTCTGATCTGGTCAAGGTCTGACTAAAGAACATTCTATACTGAAACCTTCATACTCTACAAGTGCAGTTTAGGTCTGCAGTTTTTCATTTACATATTATTGCACGATACAAAAGCAAGTTTTGCATCTGCTAAAATAGTTCATACCTCTCATGAGGTATGAGAAGAGTATAACAAACTACGGTGCAACAGACTGAAAAGAGAAAACTAAATTTACGTGTTGAATGTACAGTATTGCAATTAATTTTCTGGTGGGCCCCCAGTAGCTTCTGAGCTTAGCTACAAAATCCCCAAACCTTGGCTAAACACACCAGTCTAAGACCCATCTATCACAAAGGTGAAGGAATGTGGGAATCAGGAATAGACCCAAATCCAAGAAAAATTCCATCAGAAAGTGTAAGCACATGAAAACAAGTGACTGCTTGAAGAAAACTAAGTATACCTGGGAAGGAATGAATACCTAGGAAGGATCAATGCTGCGAGGTCACCTTTACTGTGATGCATCCAACTGCCATCAGATGACAACCCAAGTAACATGGGGGATCTGCCAGCCATCCCTGGAGTCATCCATACAAAGCTTGCAATATCATTGGAAAGGAGCAGGGAGGTAATGGAGGGGGGGCTACCAGAAAAGGGCATTTCATTCGTGCATTTACTCGATTTCTGGGATGTGTCCTTCAGAAGCTCCCTGAGCTTACTAATGACAGCACCTCAATAGAGCATGCTGACTTCTGGAAAACATAAGAGGCACTTCTACCTTGTTCAGGAGTCTTACAAACATGAGCACTGGACTGGCTTAAAACCAGAACGAGAGCCACCAACCTGGCAAAGGACACAAGAAATGTACTCACTGCACTCCAAACCCAGAAAACTCCACATCTCTTGGGAGAGGAGAGGAGTGAAGGGTGTATGTGGAAAATGGAAAAGTGACCAATCAAACAAAGAGAAAAACCAAAACAAAAGGTGGAAGGCACAAAGAGCTGCAAAGACATTTGTGACCATGACACAAATAACTTTGGGATAGCGACTGCAATAACAAACATGGCAACTAGTTTCCAGGTTCTGTATATCAAGAAGAAATTACCCTAACCCCACCAAATATATATAAGTCAATCCAACCAGACCTAATCTAATAATGTGTACAATACTAATTCCATTACTGACTCAGTAATGAAGTTCTCTTTATTCATTATATTCTCTAATTTGTTGTAGCATTGATCAGGTTGTCTTGCCACAATTTTTTTCCAATGAAGATATGGACTAGTTAGATAAGTCCCAAGCTCTTGAGAGGTTTGATTTTCTATTGACTTTATTGGTTTTCACATGACCCTGTTGACAAGCTATGGTATTTCCATCACTCTCTGGGCTCTTGTTAGCCCTGGTGGCATATCTTATCAGTGATAGGTGACATTTAATTAGTTCCTTGTCTATAGTTATGCAAGTTTCTCATAAGGAAAATGTGCAAAGAAACCAGGTTATTTTAAAAAGATGGGTGACCATTGATCTATATAATTTAGCTAGTCCTGGTATTAAGCAGGTAGGTTGCCTTTTAGTTAAGTTCCTGGGACATTACATACCTGATGGGACATTACATACATAGCCTGGGCCCAAAACAGGTCTGCAGTCAAATCTGACTAAAACAGCAGGGATGTAGTTCAGATTCTTCCTAAAGCAGCAGATGGATAGGCTACTGGCCATAAAACAATGGGGTTTTGACTTTAGTACATCAAATGTTCTGTACACACTAATTAGCAATAGTGCAGAACATTTAGGAAAATATGGTGACTATCCCTGGTGACCACTGACTTTATCCTTGGTGACCAGCAACTTTAGCCCAGGCAACTAGTGATGCTAACCTTGGTGACCAGCAACTTTAGCCCAGGCAACTAGTGACTTTAGCCCTGGTTTTTCTCTCTCTCCTGCTGTAGGTCTCCACACCTTGATCATTCACCTGTTCTGTGTAATTACTTAAGTGTGGTTACAGGATTAGAGCTATGCTCGTGGTGTCCTGTCTTTCTTTGTCTTATACTCTGACAATAACAATGACATATACTGTATATGACAATGGGCTCATTGTCTA